GATCAGATCAGATCTGAGAGTTTTTGGTTTGCTGAGGACAAGGTGACATTATGGAAAGTATGTGTAACATCAACTTAGGCAGATATCTGGGTGACTAGTCATTGGTCCAAAGGTCCATTGGTCCAATGGTCCGAAGGTCCATTGGTCCGAAGGTCCGAATGAGAGTGTCTTTTCCGGTCATCAAATATTGTTATTTAAATATTTATATATTTGGTTGGCGTTTTAACACCCAAATAATCTTTGTCATCGTCGCCAACATCCTCATCATCATTATAATCGTCAAGATCATTCGTCACCTTTGTTAACATTATCAGCAGGAGAGGATCCAGAAAAAAATGCTAGTAGGTGATAAAAGTATCAAAAAGGTTTTAATAATACCATTTAAACACTAAAATATCATTATAAGGTCTTTCCATTCTGCATTTAAATTATTCACCTTACAGTATTTCTTATTTGTTCAGCCTTTTCCCAGACATTTTAGGGTCCTTTGTTTTAAGTGCTCTTTTTTTAACGAAGTATTTATCGTTTGTTTGTTTGCAAATTTCATCTTGCCAATGTTTAATGTGGTTCCAATAAAGTTGTTGTCATTGAACGTTTTAAATGATCTTGATTTACTAACTTTTTGGTACATTTTTTTTTTATTTTGCGATTTTAATAAATCAATCAATGGTCAGTAAGCCGAAGGCTAATTACACCATAAGTTGATATATTTTGGTAGTGACAAATATTAGGTCAATAATTGTTTTAATAGTTTCTGTTGTAAAAATTTATGAATAACTTGCATTATATTACCTTGACTGACTATGGTGTTCATCTATTTAGGTTAGATTAAAATCTAACATAATGGCATCATTATATAATGCGGTAACATTTTGATACGTTAGGTCAAGTTTTGTTAAATACTCAGCCTTTGCTTTGGGTGGTCTAAAAAATTGCCTACAGAGCTTTTGAGTGGGGTGTATTTATTTCTACCGATAGTGCTTTCCATCCTCGTCAAACATATTCATTTCTTTAATAGATTAACATTTTTAATGTAAAGTAATATACCACGTTTCCTATCAAGTCTACAGATTTCTCGCCTATCCTGACTTTAAAAAATCCGTAATTTTACCAAATCCCGCCGATCCAGTTATTGCGTACAAAAACCCGGAATTTTACAAATGAATTCCCGTCCATCCCGATGAATCCTAACAAAATTCTGGCGTGATGGGGTCATTCTGATGGAATCTCCGATCGGGATCCCGATTTCATCTTTGATAGGGTATCTGTCATCCATATGTGATTTTGTTTGATTGTCACTATGGTTCTTGTTTCTATTTATGAGAAATGGACCTTCGGACCAATGGGCCTTCGGACTAATGGACCTTCGGACCAATGGGCCTTCGGAATAATGGTCCGTCCCCGATATGTTAACACCATTCAGTTAGTGGTTTCTACTACATTGTCCATTACAGATCTCAAGAAGGAAAAGCCTGTCAAGTAATGGAAAATCTCAACCATACGGTTCAATACAGTGGAGTAACGAAGGGGCCGGAAGCCCTGATACTTAATTTTAATGAAGATATCACTAGTAAACATTAAAATCGAAATGCCCCAATCACTCGGCAGGCTTTGGCTTGGAAAAGGGCCTTGGTTATAGGGACGTAGCCAGGATTTTGAAAAGGGGGGGGGGGAGAGCCGCAGACAGGTTATGCGTCTATGTAGGACCCCGGCGGGGTCAAGGGGGCGAATCCCCCTGTGAAGTAGCGCATTCTGAACGTCTTAGGACTGTTTGAATGGATAAAGTGAAAATTGCAAGACGCATTATAAATAAGCGCAAAAATAATTATATATTATAACACTGTGTACAAAGGGGGGGGGGGAGAGCCGCTGCTCCCACGGCTTCCCCCTGGATACGTCCCTGCTTGGTTATTTGTTTGACAAAAAAAGAGAGAAAAAAAATGAATTTGCTGAGAGCCACTTGAGGCTCTGGGGCCCCTGGCTTTAGCAAGAGTGAGAGCTCATAGCTGTTACGCCACTGGTTCAATAGTTTAATAAAAACAACATACATAGCAATAGATAAATACAGTAATGTGAAAGGAAACTATTCCTCTTTAGATGGACTTCAATACTATAAACCTATCCAATCACAAGGCCCTCATAACATCAGGCAGACCAAATTATTCCAAAGTTGGTAAGCTTTAAAAAAAAAAGAAGTTGGATTTATTGCAAGCTATATTAAACAGGAAGTACTCGCAAAATATACAAATAGATATAAATATGTCTTGATTTAAAGAAGAATTTCTGTCGTTATACATTTCTTCAGCCCAGTCAAGATTTTATGAATAGAACAGAATGTTGTACATGTTAATTATCATAATTGCATGGGATACTGCTAAAATACATGATGATTATAAGATCAGCATTTGTAGGTACTTTTTTTTTTAGCTTTCTTCCTTATCCATAATTTATTAGGTTCAACTTTTGACAATGATATTGAAGTCTCAACATACTCAGCTCAGAGAATATCTCTCCAGTCCAAACCCTAATTCTTGATTCAGTTTAAACCTTTATTGTCCTGCAGCAATTACAATTACAATTTTGTAATCATCAAGGACTGCTGGGTATGTATTCCAGATATCATGCTTGTTTAAAACAGTATTAATTAAAATGAAAATTCACATGACACTTTTTAAAATGCCACTTATTTGACTAATGGTATGCTGACGTATTCTTACTAGGTACTTAAAGCAGGGACGGATCCACAGATGTCCAAACGAGGGCCCTGAATGTGGCCCGATCGAGATAAAACTACCCTAGAGGGTCCTCTAGGAGGTGTTTTCGGCATTTTCTTTTTTTTCTTTCTTTTTCTTTTCTTCCTTCCAAAAGTGGGGGAGGTGCAGGGCTAGCCTCCCCCCTCCCCCACCAAAAATCTTCCCCTGCTTAAAAGCATATACTTGCAGTATAAATACACACTATATGCACACCTGAATATTGTACTTGTTTAAAAAAAAAACAAATATAAGAACTATTGGATACATTCCCTTTATTGACAAACACTTCATTATTAAACAAAACAGGAAATACATTAGGACCATTTCAGTCTGCATCCAATTTCAAAAATATTAAATGAGAAAGATATATTATTGCACAGAAACTTCAAGATCAATCAAAATTTAACTCATTAAAATTATGTACTGAATTAAATTTAACAGATTTTAATAGCACCTTATGTTCACTAGCATCAATTTCTGATTCCTTTTAAATTCTGCATCTCAATTATTCATTAAAACAATAACTTGCATAGTGTTTTTATTTTTGAATTAATGATAAATGCAAAAAAATAAATTGCAAAAATAATAAATAGTAAAATTCAAAATACAGTAGAACTCATATGAGTTCACTGGTTTTCCCTTCATTGAGAATCTCATAATATGCCAGAACCAAAGGCTAATTTGAATGCAAGCTCTACTGCATTCTGATTGGCTGATTCATGATAGCAGACATACACCTCTCGCGACTGTTGCTCACCATTGAATCGTCTACAAAAGATAAGAAAACAGTGATATCATGATTAATTCTCGATATTGTTTGAAATTCCATGGCTGTTGCTGAACTGTACTTTTAGCAACCTATATTTTGCACTCAAGTTAAATGTCCCTTGCATATTATGCATTGGCATAAAGGCAGAGTCTTTTATGGTATTAACAGATCATTCTTATTTTTTACAGGCAACATTTCAAATGCTACTAGTGGCAAACGACAGCCAATTTCAATCAAAGTTAGTAGAACTGGTGACACCTCCCATATATAGGTCGGGCATTCAAAACTCTCGCTGTGCAAGTCGCTTGTGTCCTTGGGCAAGGCACTTTATCTACGGTTGTCTCTCTCCACCCAGAAGTACAAGTGGGTACCTGGTAGGTTTAATCAGAACCATGCGCTGATTACAGCTACAAAATTATGGGGCATGAGTGTTGTTACATGTGCTTGATCCAGTGACAAGGGGTAATAATGTAAAGCGCAAAGAGGTTAGTCTACAATATGCACTACATAAGTAGACAATTATTATTATTATATTATATTATTTGTTCACAGCTCAGGGTCACATAAGGGTCAAAACCCTTATGTCACAAACTTCTGTCACAAATAACATAGCACAGCTTAGACTTTTCCACATATCTGCTGGCATGAGGCAGGGTATGGTGTTCAGGGATTTGGGTCAAAGGTTATTAATGGGTATTATTTCTGGCAATATTTCAAAATGCAACTACTGTAGTTGCAAATGATTTGCCAAATTCAATCAAAACTAAAAAGCATAGTTATCGTGGTAATAAACAATTTTCTGCACCAGTGGACAATGACAACATGATAAAGAATATTACAATTTCAACTAAATTAAAATTATGAGAATTATGATGATGGTGTTTAGCATAAATTTCCTCATTAATGAAATATTTATTTATAAGCCAACAGTGTGTCAAACACCAAAAACCGGGTCGCCATAAAAATACAATATGATATAAAAATATAAGTTAAAAATACATAAAATTTCAAATAGCATAATCACACATGTACCAGAAACAACATACTTTGTCTTCTTATTTATTATGAGTTTACTTCTTGTCAAAAAACAAGACGAGACAGTTCTAAGTTTTATAAAACCCGTAGTGTTACCAATTTAAGGAAATACTTTTTCATGTAGAGTTATTTTGAGCATGGAAAAATCTCCCCGATGAGTTGATGAATGCACCTTCAATAAATACTTATCGAGTCTGGATTTAAGGTGGGGTGCTGAAGTTCATGCCTTACAATGGTTAAAAACCATGTAGAAGTGGTTTGGCGCAGTGGGAACGGTTTGGTTTCCCAACCTTGTGGTCGGGGTTTCAATCCCCTCACTGTGCATTTTCGCTTGTGTCTAGGGCAAGGCACTTTTCTGCATTGCTTCTCTCTACCCAGGAGTAAAAATAGGTACCTGGTAGGGTTAAATGTGCTGATGCAGCTGCTAACTTTATAGAATACTCCAGCAGGGAGCTTGAGTTTGTGTTCCATAGCCGTTTAATCTAATGACCGGGGTAGTAATGTGAAGCGCTTGTTGCAGTTAAATCAATCTAACATATTATTATTGTTGGGTGGCTTTTAACAGGGGTGGCATTTTTCCGATTTCCCTTCTAATGACTTTCTTATATTCTGCCAAGTTTGAAACCAATTAGAATTACCAAACTTTAGTTATCATGGTATACTAGAATAATCACTTGAGACGAGAGTTTTTTTTTTTTTTCTTGTTTCGCGTACTTATTTTTTAAACAATTGGGCCATTTCCAATCAAACTGATCCATAAAACTGTCCATACAATGTGTGTTCACAGCTTTGGCAGAATGGTCACATAGGCATCTTTTGTGTAAAAACCCCAAAAATTAAGTCAAGTCGACTTCTGTCACAAATAACATAGCAGTCTTGCACTTTGAGCTAAGCCACCAGTCAAATTTTAAACATGATCCAATTGAGCTCATATTTACCAGGAATGATTTGACAGGTTCATGTTCTATTGAACATGTTTCATGTTCTATTGAACATGTTTCTAGTTTCATATTTTTCTTTTATTTGTTTAAAATTAGTTTATGTATTTGTTACTTTTGCTTTTTAACATCAGTCCTCAAATGGCAATGATAAAAAGCCCTATGTTCTGTTTTACAAATTGATTATTTGGTTGTAGGCTCTGAATGATGCCTACGCAAAATATATTTTTTTTATGTGATGCCAAACAGTAGGCTTATCAACAGTCCAGTTATTTTTTCGTTTACGTGCAACCTACTAAAAATATAATTTACCCTGTTGGGTCTATATTTCACAGTTAAAAATTAATCATTCTTTTCCTTAGATGTTAGTGATTATATATGAACAAAGGATATTTTAAAACTTACCCTACAACCCAATATTGCATTGTGGGTGGGGCTTTGCGTTGTTCTGGCCAATTGGGAGGACTGCACTGGAACATAACACCATATTCTTTTACCCTTCCAAGACCAACAGTGTTGCAGATGTGATGTCCATCATTAGATACAGTTTTCTGAGCCTGAATAAAAAATAGTGACAGTTTAATGATGATGTTGCATGGTAAACATATACTATACAGCAGATGTAAAATATATTAATAAGCATAAATGCACTTTTTAAGTCACAACCACCATATATTATATATCAAATGTTAAAATGTTTTGAAATGTATAAATGTAATCTTTATCCATTTGAACTGAACAATTAACACTAACAGCTGAAATTTCAAACACAGAAAGTGGACACACTTGACTAAAAGACAATAAGAATAATAATAACAATGGTCACATTAAATTACCAGAAAGACACCAGTGGTGTAACAATGAGTCATGGGGCCTCTCTTGAGATAATCATTAAAGCTGTAAGACTGGATTTAATTATTATCAACAATATAATCAACTTTCATTTTCCATACAACATTTAATTAGAAACAAAATGTAAAGGCCTATAAATTAATGTACACGCTCTATCATGGATGTACTGATCTAAGCCCCTTGAGGCTTCACCAATATTATTAATCAATCAATTGAAATATTTTATAACATACCATTCAAACATTAAACAATAGACTATTAACACTATATAATAATTCAGGGAAGGACAAAAATTTACTTCCCTCACTTATGGATCACAATTTCTTTGGGTTAAATTTGTTTAAAATATCAATATAAAGATGGTTAAGTATAAACAATTCAATAGATTGTTTTGATGTCACTTCAATACTAAGAATTATGTTGGCTGAAACAGGATTATAAGGCCAGTTTTTTAAAGATGTATTGCCCCATGCTAAATACCAAAAAAAATCATAAAAATATTTTTTTTTTAAATTAACTTGCCCATCTTGAAGTAACATAAAATTTATCAACTTGAACATAGAAATTATAGTGTTTAAAAAAAATTTCTACCCATCAGGTTTACAGCAAAAAATGATAGAAACACTTCCAGTCACTGGAAGTGTTTTATTATTTTTATTATAATTTGTTGGTTTAAAAATAATGGTAAACATTTTTTAAATTTAATAATTTCTATGCACAAGTTAATAATTTGTATGTTATTGCAAAATGAGCAAGTTCATTTCAAACTTATTTTTTATGATTTTTTGACATTAGCAAGGGACAATACATTTTTAATGTCCAATCAATGGTGTTAAAGTTGTAGGTCTTTATTTTTATCAAAATATTTTCATGGGACCCACATAATAGGGTTTGCACTCAGTTGCACTAATTGGACCATTAATGTCATGTATGTACTGTATGGCCTGCAATTTGAGTAGAAGTTAAGTAGAAGAGTGCTACTGCAGGTAGTAGGACCCTCTTCACAATAGTATTCTAATAATATTTCGATATATTTAGTATCATCAACAAAATAATTTTTAAATAATTTGATCTGAGATTAATGGAGCATTAGTAGACCCTCTAGCCTCCCCCCCCCCTTTCCACCTTGAGAGCCTCTGGGTATTGCATCGCTGAAAAAGGCACAAAAATGCAAAATCTACTTACTTTCTCCCAAGACTTGGCAAATATCTTGCGTATTTTCATGCAAGCCTGGTGGAAATTTGACAGGAGTTGAGGATGCAGAATTCCCCCAAGCATAGCAACATCACTATGGGTCGGGCAGACTATCACCCCATCAGATGTATTCAATTCAACAAAATGGAAGAGTGTATTATCATGTCCAGCAGTTAGTCTTAAGAAAAAACAAAACATTAAAATACTTTTAAATTAATACAATAGACAATAGAAAAATGTTCAAATCAATAAAATATTTGGTCACATGCGGAATACATCTCTTGCAAAGGCTTGATGATTTAACCTGTGTGTACGGAATGGATGGAATGAGGTGAGGAAATATCTTTGGCAACAGAAATTTGTTGACTTCAAGTGAAAGACTGAAAGTAAAAATAAAACAGAACAATGTAAATGGTGTAAGTCATGAATGATTTTGATTTTGTTTGATTTATGAGTTACAGCAACAACTATTGAAATTGTAGCAAATACAAAATGGCATGCAAAACTAGATATCAATGAATTAACCTAGTGTCACACAACCTTCCTGGCCCAGAGGACCACTTCTGACCCCATGAACAAATTTATGGACTCACTTCGTCTAAAAAGTCTTATAGTAAGTCTATATCATTATATAGTTATCAAATCATTCTTTTTTTTAGTGATTCTGACACAAGAAGAGCTGGGATTACCAGGCGCAATGGCGTAATGCTTATGCACTCTTGTGCAGCGGTTCGCAGGTCCCCAGCTCATAGGGGCTCCTACGCATAGGGTCCTCGATCGAGCACCTTGACCCAAATAAGATTTGTTAATACGTAACAGCATAATGTGCCACTGAGATGGAATGTGGAACACATATCATGTCTAGTGATGGATTAAAGGGCCTTCTAACAGCATAATGTGCCACTGAGATGGAATTTGGAATACATATCATGTATGTGATGGATTAAAGGGCCTTCTAAAAATGGAGATAAACAGAAAATTATAATCAAATTTCCGCAACCCCTTATTTCAAATTCCTACTAGACCTCCACTGATGTCATTATTTATTTCATTGTTACAAAATATTTATAATACAATGACAAACATGATTAATAATCACATAAAACACACATCTAAATCCCACAAGGAAACTGGGGACAGCGACCAAAAAAGGGCCGCCAATCTCTAAAGCCACATGCTCCTCGGCCACTGACTAGGTAGGCCAGTGGACTTTATATTTAACATGTAGGGCCCATTCGAATAGAGTTATGAAGGCCCAACAATGGTATATCTATGGATGATGTGCATTAAGTACTGTAGGCCAACACTCAACATTGGGCCTAAAGGTGGAATTCAAATTATTCATTGTGAAAGCAATAATTACCTATAAAAAGATACAAAAAGATGAAGCTTGAGTATGTAATTTGCACTATTACAACTATACAGTACAATGAAAACTAAAATACTTATTAATAATATTAAATATATATAGCACTGAATGCCCACAAGGCCTTGAAACGCGTCACATTATTAATCCTGGCCAATGGATAGAACACACACTCAGCTCATAAATAAACAAAAATAATAAGAAACAACATCAGGATAAACTATCCAACACTGGACACCATCCCGACATTTCTGAATCTAGCTTATGGGGCATGGTAGAACTGGCAAGTGAACTGCAAAATAGCCCATGAATTGCACGGCACTGACAGTGACTTCAAACCAGTCGTTTTCTTTTAAAACTTTTTGTGTTTTTAAAAAAATATACAGCAATTTAACACATGACGACTGATTTGAGACCACTTTACATAAGTTATAAATGTGTAAACTTACATGGCGAGAGTTACTAAGCAACCAGAAGTTTAAATCATTTTCTGGTAAGTATACGTAGTTGCAATGTGCCAAATTACTTACTTTTCCAGACAATATATTTTGAAATGCCACAAATTCTCATCATTAAGTTTTTGATATAGTAAATGAAAATAAGATTAGATGTAATTTAAGTCTATAATAAAGTGTAATAATTTTTCAACCTTTAAAAACTTAATCAAAACCCAGGCTTTTATATGGTTTATCAGTTCCTTTTTAAATATGAGGCATGTCGTGGCAAAATGGTTAAGTTGTCACACAGGCCAGTATTGAGTAAATGAGCTATCAAATATGGGAGCCCAAAAAATTGCCTAAAAATCCATTTTTTTCCCCATCAACAGTTTAATGTCTTATTAATCATGTCCCAAATTATTAGTTCTGGAAGTGGTCAACAAATCGTTTATTTAATATTATTTAGATAGTTAATTCTATTAAACAATGTATGCACAAATAGGTTTGGAAAGCAATTGTTTATCTTGACTCTGAGTACTGTACTTTCACTTTCCAATAACTTAGGCTTGAAATGTTCAATTTCAATGAATGACCACTCATTTTAAAGATCACATACTCAGGTATCTGAAAATACCAATGACTTGAATTTCAATTTTTGCTACAACTTAGCCATTTTGCCACAACATGCCTCATATGTTATAAAGATTCAAAAATATAATATGGAATTGCTAGTTTAACTGAACTTACACATTCCTAATGATGAAAAAAACGTAAAATAAGACTGAGAATTGATTTGGTGATAGGTATAAACACGGCCGGCATGAAATTTTCCGTTGCTAGGTATTGAAACTTGTGAAATATAATATTTCATTGGAATTATTTCAAATTTGTTAAAAAAAATTATCCTGACCGAGATTTTGACAATTAAACAAACATACACTTGATCGACAGCAGTGTGCGAGATGCAAAGTACAAAAACTAATCTCATTAGAGAGGGCGCATTTTATCACTCACAATTGTATCGGTGATGTAAACAGTTCAGTAAAACAAATTATTAAGTAATTTTCTTTTTTTTTTAATTAATTGTGGGATGAATTAAAGTATCTTTTCTTGACAGTTCATGGCATTGGTGGGCAAGGTAAAAAAATAATAAAAAGATAGGAATGCAGCAGGTTCGCAAAACAATTACTCTGCCTACCTCCTGCGCTCGACTGTACAAAGTATATACAAAAGTCATCGAGAAAATGGTAACGTCCTACAAGAAATAATCTTTTTTTTTTTTTTTTCTTTTTGCGTAAACTAAAATTTATTTCTGGCACCACTACTTCATACAGATACAGTCATGGTAAGAGAGTGTTCCATCATGAATTTTATGTAGCTGTCATCATCTTCTAAATGACTTTTAGCAAAATGGGTTTCAGAAAACTATGTTTCGGCAAACTGGGACTCATGGTTTTGAGTCTGGGTTTCGACAATCTAGCCTAGATCTCCCTGGATAGGGCCAAAACATGCTCATTTGTGCAGAATCACCCAAAGCCAATTCACCAGGGATGTAGTTTATGTTGTCAACCTACCAGCTGTCCAAACCTGAATATAGGCCTAGACTAATTATTATTTTCATGAGTAGCATTACAGTCAATCATTTATAGTTCAAACAATTAAGACATAGCATAGCCTAAAAACAAAGTCATACTATTTTTCTCTGATAATTCGTGGAGATGCCTTACTGCAGCTGAGATTTAAAAACAATTAAAAAATGCCGATTTCATGATAAAACAATTGAGGAATGACCTAGAAGTTCAGTTACACTCGCATCATATCGCCACCCCAACCACCATTATTTTTATACTAAGAACAAAATCAATACTTTAAAATTAAACATACTTTGTAGCTGATATGATGTCCTTTTGTTCAATATCTGGAAGTTGATGCTGCATTACCCCTAGATTGTACGGGTCAGGAATAATTCGTCGATCTCTGCCACTCTGTCAAGAGGGAAAAAAAGAAAATTAAGCCATTGGACATTTAGGCAATCCTGAAAAAATGTGTTTCCTGTCAAACAGGTGGCCCAAAAAAATATCCAGTAGGGAGAGAGTATAGGCCTATCCCTGTAAATGTTGTAATTGCCTTAAAAAAATTCAGCATCTCGGGAACCCACCCCTATGGTCCCGAACCCCACAGAAAAGACCTACTAATTGTATTATAGTCCGAGGGCTTATGTCCAAAATAGGCGTTTGATAAAGTTAGTCATGAAATTATTATATATTAATGATATTAATACGTCCTCCAATTTACTCTCGTTTTTACCTCTATGCTGATGAAACTACCATATTTTGCAGACACTTTTTGAAGTTGTCAACCAATTATTTTCTGCTACAAGCTTTCAATTGATCTTAAAAAATCCTACATCATTTTATTTTGTAATTCGCATAAAACCACAGACTTTGGATTGCAGACAGATTAAAATGAATAAGTATAATATTCTCTAGTTGAAAATACAAAATTTTTTGGCATTAACATTTCAGATTCAGCAAGGCTTACATGGAAAATACACATTAAAGAACTTGAGAATAAGATTTCTGAAAATATTGCTATCATTTTTAGACTTTCTTATTTTATTCTGCACAACTCTCTCCACACCCATTACGCTACGCTCGTTCTCCCTCATTTAAGTTATTGTAATATTATTTGGTGCAACACCTATCAGTCGAATACTAACAGCTTATTCCGAAAACAAAAAAAGGCAGTTGGTATCGTATCTGGCATACAACCACTTGCCCACACTGATCCACTATTTTCATATTAATTTAAAATTATTAAAATTTACATGACATTAATATACATTAACAATGTAATTTTCTATACTCCTCAATTAATTATCTAAATCCCCCACAATTTTGTAAACTTTTTTATCCAACCTCCTACTTCCATAATTATACTACTACAAATACGATTAACCTCCATATTCCCATGCATAAAAAATCTTTTTTTCAACATAATATTAGATTATGGGGTGGGCCAAAATTCTGTATCAACTTACCTGTAAGTATCAAGAAATCTGCATCCAAGAAAAGCTTTTCTAAAACACTCAAGTATCACTTTTTATCAAAATATTCAAACTAATTCAATATTATAATTATAGTCCTAATAATAATAATAATAATAATAATAATAATAATACTATAGTGCTACTACTAACTATACTACCTAGCTAAATGTACACGGCTCTCAAAACTTTGATTTAGAGTAGGCTCCCTAGTTTTTAGGCCCTCACTGGTATGTAAGCAGCTCCTCTCCAGTACGCAGTAAAGAATATAATCTGCATTGATTTTAAACTGTTTTGAAACATCTTCGTTACTAAATACCTGTTATAAACACCAGATCGACACAATGATCAGGTTAGAATTGCCGATATTTTTTTACTAGTAAACCAAGAAATGCTAACTTGACGTACATATTGACCCCACAATAGAACTTCAGAGGTAACGCAGTAGACAAACTTTGCTTTGGTCATTACCTATTCACCAGTGAGTTAGAATATTTAGAAACCTTTCGTAAGATAATTAACGCTTCAACGAACAACAATTACAAAGATAGCGGTGCTTTGCAGTATTTACGCAGGTAACAAAAGCAAAAACTTTGCTTAAAATTCACAATAATATTTTCTTATCGGATAAGTCATGATCAGCAAGGCGGGTTAATATATTATGAAAAAATTAAAACAACTTTGTGGAGTTTTATTGTTGGAATCTGTAAGGTAAGCACTGCACAACCACCAAGCCACAGAATGGTAGTTTAATAAAAAGCTTACCCTATACACCTCACTACTGCCTTCTGATCCACCAGATAAATCCGAGTTTTTTCGCTGGTGGTCAATCTTGCGACCTGTGTTTGGTGAAGAATGAGTGCTATTGGCTTGTGAGTTCATGGGGCTGGCTTCACTGTCATTGTCCGAATCCTTATGCATACTATGTCTTTTAGTGGCTGGGGTTCCTTGAGACGGCCCAGAAGACAAAGAGCTTCGTCTGCTGTTGGTTGTCTGAACTTGAAGTGACTTACGGCCTGTTGGAGGAAGTTAAATTAGAAAGTTTTAGTAGAAAAAAATTGTAAATCATACTAGGCTTTTACTTATTCCGGTATAAAAAAAAGTAATGTAGTAACATAGCTACTAGATCGGTAAATAAAAGCAACAAAAAGCTGTATACACTGCTTCTAGTAACATGCTTGTGACTTTCAGACACTGTTACTTGTTTAAAATTACATTCCACATATAAAATAGAAAATAGTAAAAATTCTCCAGACATGATTCAATTTTAGTTGTTTAACTCTGTCTTATACCCTATTAAGTTGATTATTTTTATTAAGTTCATTTTGACTGATATGATCAGGGGATAAATATATGTTCAGATTGAATATATTTATTTTATTTTGAGCTACTTGGAGTTTACCTTTAAATTTCTTAACACTCTGCCTGTCAAACATGGAGATCTTTGTGTTGGTAACACAATGCTTGACCACCAAACACGGAGATCTCCGTGTTTCAGGTTTTTTACGGAATCCGATAGATGGGGTAATTACCGACATGTACTAACAATTTGAACATTATATTCAGTCTGCACCGTAAGTATTGCTCTAAGGTTTACATTGAGTGTAGTGGTAGTAATGTGACTATCACAAAATCGTGATTATCTCAACTTTGTTGTGCGAAATTGCATAATCTACAAAAGTGAGTCATTTTATAGTGTTGTGGGTCACAGATTGTGATTAGAATAAAGTGTTTTGTACCGTTGTAAAGCTATTAGATGTTTGTAGTTCTTGTAGTATTCATTACATGTCAATTTGATTACATATACACTCTCTACGAGCTTTGGAAAAACGTTATAATTCGCTAAAATATCTGGCGGTGGCTGATACCATTTTTTCAAACCCCTGGAAGTCGGAGTGTTATAAGAAGTCCAAGATCAACATGAGTAGTCATAGTGACACTGGATTAGTACTGCAAAAAGATATTCCACATTTCTAATTTATGTGATTCAGCATGTCAGAGTTGCTCTTCCATAAACATTGTTAGCATAGGATTCACCAGAAAAAATAGTCATCAAGTGTACAGACTAAATATTAAACTGAGTTTACTTGCAAGACTGAAAGGAGAATTGGGACAACCTAAATAAACTCAAATAATGGAATTCGTTCTGATTGGGCAATCTTCTTTGATCGTGAATTTAAATGGAAAGAAATACAAGTTGGAAGAAGCTTTCTTAACACATCTAACTTATTTTGCTGTGCATGGTGCACTGAATTCCAGGAGGCTATTGATATTACAGTAGTAAAATCATGCAAACATCGTGAATTTGCAGCAGATGGGATATTTTCTTGGAGCTTCTTCTTGTTTGCAGAAGGCAGGCCTTCCCAATTTCCAGGAGACACCTGAAACTTGAGACCCCTGGAAATTAAAACCAGTTTCTGTCTCGGAGTGCCACTTCCCGTCATCTACAAGTGCCATCCCTCATCTTTAAACTGCTTGGGCTCGGCCCTCTATTTCACATTCAGGGATCCGCCACTGTTCTAAAGAACTGAGTTCTTTGAATCAAGGTTTGATTTGATGTGTTTCAGACAGTATGATCAAATGAATCATCGGTCTTTTTATGTTTCTTTGAAAAGAACGAGGACTACTTTATCATCATCCTCTGACAAAACCCAGTGTTATCAGTCTCATGAAGAAATATCTGATATGGTGTATACCTGGCTTGGTATCATTACCTCTAGCTGGAGACTGGCTGTGCAGTTTGCTTAGCATTGGTGATGACTGGAGTGCTTGTAAAGGTGTCCCTACATCGCTGGTAATACGGGGTAGTGGGAAGAACCAGTCAGCACAAGATAATGCTGGAATGGGTGGTACAGTCAATCTGAAAATAAACCAATAATAAGGCAATTATTTGCATCTACTCACAGAAGTGGTTGGCGCAACGGTTGTGGCTCGGACTCTTAACATTGAGGTCGGGGGTTCGATACCCTCGCAGTGCAAGTCGTTTGTGTTATTAGGCAAGACACTTTATCTACGTTTGTCTCTCTCCACCCAGGTGCATAAATGGGTACCAGCATATGCTGGGAAAGTAAAACAGACTGCAGTGCGAGAGGAATGGCGAACCTCCCACAGCCTTGCACAGTCTGGCCCAAACACTAAAGAAAGAGAGACGGGCACTCCGGTCTGCTTCAGGTTTCGAACCTTTACCTTTTACCTACTCCCAGAGATTTGGTTTACTGTAAAGAGCTGTAAAGTATTTTAATTGCATGGATGATACCTCAAAAAGTAGCTCAAACTTGCACAAAATGTGTGCGGAATTCGGCTCTTATTTTCCGCAATGCGTTGACGGATTTCTAGCCTAGCCCTAGGTTTTGCGTGGAGGATGGGCCTAGGCCAGACTGGCTAGGCCTAGGCCGAACCAATCTGTTAGGTGTGTTATATATAAAACAAATAATGAATGTTTTGTATTCGTACAACGGAAAGAATATTTTCATGAGTTGAAAGATTGACTGTTGCACTCAACTCAGCTCCACCTCGTTGAATGGAACAGTCAATCTTTCTACTTATAAAAATATTCTTCCCATTGCACTCATTCATTATTTGTATACCATTAAAAACTGACCTGTCTTCACAAGCTCTTGGGATACCAATTGCTTCAAGGTGCAGTAGTGTAGCCCTGGCTTGGTCTACATAGAATGGATCAGGGCTTGGGTTACCTATAGCTCTATAAACAAAAAAAAAATAAATGATATATTTTATATTTATTTTATTTCATCCATTTAGGCAACAAACAACAATAAAAAATCTGAACAAATATATAAAAGCCGAGGAGAAGCAAAAGCATAAAAAGCGGTCACTGAATGGTCCTGAATTACAAAACAAGTCAAGGACAATAAAATGGAAACAATAAAATATTGCTTTAAATAAAGAAAGTTTAAAAATGTTGAAAGAGCCACTAACAAACAATTTGCAGATCCCATTGGGGATGGAATTCCAGGTTCTGGTGAATGGGGTAGGAATACAAAAGTTTGACATATGGTTGTTAGAGCGTAAATGTCATAATTATGGATGATGATTTATGGAAGAAGACAATGATGGTTTAAATTTTGCATTTTTCTAAAAATAAGGGAAAAATGTTAATATACAACGTTAAGACCTAAATATCTGATCTACCAAACTGAATTTGCAAAATTATGGCTTTCATATATTTGGCCAAAAGCATGATTTTTAAAGATCTTCTCAGTACGTGGTTGTATGGCAAAATTTTTAATAGCGCAAATAAATTGACACAAAAATCACTTTATACACCAAACCGTAAACAGAGATATGGCAATATGTCTTCTTAACCCTCTAGATACCGTCTTTGACTGTGGTCGAAATTGACCTAAAACCGAGAATTCCCATTTTCGACTGTAATCGAAACTTCGTGACGAAAAAATAGGTGGTTTTCAAATCGCTCCTGTTTTTATTTTAGCTCCAATACGTCAGAAGTTTTGAACACGCATGCGTGAAGCTTTTGTTTTTCGAAATCTGTGAAGAACTCACATGCGCTTATATAAAAATTTTTAGAAATATCAATTTGAAATCGTTATTAATTTCAAAAATTTTTTGAAATGGCCGCACAAGATGTGTACACAGCTGAGCAAGCGATTGACCTGATTTTTGATTCAGACAGCGATGAAGGTGAATTTTTAGATGTGCGAGACTTAGACGTGCCTGTTAGCAACTGATGACGGTGGGGCTTCAAGCAGTTCTGACGGCGGAGATATTCTTGATGAAGATGAGCCTAGGCCTAGAAATGTGAGGGTAGTCGACGCTTTTGAATGGAAAGACCGCGCTTATAGTTATGGATGGTTGGGTAAATAAATTATATAACTGTGTGGAATAGGAATGTTTTATATTTGTTTTAATTTTTTTTTTGGCTATAATTTATTTTTTCGGTTTTTGCTGACGATTTATATGTAGCATATATTATATTATATTATGAAAAAAAAATCCTAAAAATATAAATTATACATCAAATGAAAGATTATTCTATAAGCTTTCTTTGTTTTTAGAAACATTTTTCTGTATAATTTACAGAGAGTTCCCAAAAATCCACCAGAACGACGTATACTAAAAAAAAGCAAAAAACCTTGTTACACTGCAAAAGAATCCGGTATTCAAGGGTTTGCACTACAAAAGAATCCGGTATCCAGAGGGTTAACAATTTGACACCAAAAATAATTTCTACAGACCTAAAGCATTGCAGAAATATGACATATAGATATATTTTATTAAAATTCACAATAAGCAATGTGTCCCATGCAAAAAATTATATTTAGAGCAAATATAATAATAATTTGATGTTTGTGTTCTGAGGGATTTGGCATAAAAAATATTTCAATAGACCAAAACGTTACAAAGATATGGCAACTTCATGTTTTTTCAATACAAATATTAAAATTGAGGTCAAAAATCACAAAGGCCAAATAAGATTTCCATTAACTCGGTTTTGGTATCCCCACACAATGCCTTATCACCATACAAAAGAGCAAATTTGTACTTTGCACTAGCGTAACAATACATCAATTTTTGTAGGCTTAGGGACTGGACTAACAATCCTTATTATAAAGGAGACACAATTTCACAATTTTGATTGTGTCACTTGAAGAGGGATGACACATGCGATGATGACAGATCTTTTGAAAATTTTATTTTAATTGACCTAAGAATGAGTTATAGTATAATTAAACTTAATTGTGACAATAATTTGCAATGCAAATAAAATAAATTTATTAAATGAAATTAGATAGTAAAAGTAGGAGCTGTATTATTATTTCATTAGTCTAAAGAAGGTGCTACTGTACTTATTTCCTATGAATTTTAAATGAAATAAGTATTTATAAGTATCATACAACACAACTTGGTTTAATTTTCTATAACATCAGTAGGTGTACATTTGGCGAAAAGATCATCCACATTGGATTGTGTGTTATGTTCGTGCATGTTAACACTGAACATTCATAGCACATGTCAAATAGTGGCCAGTTAATATACTGTATTCTTTACTTAAAATATTGGTTGAAGGGGCCAAACTATATGTGAAGCCAAAAGTACTCTAAGAAGGCGCTTTTTATTTTTACGATTCATACCTTGCAGTACAACCAGCACTTTCCAGCAGCATACATATGACACTGTGTTTCTGTAATAAAAGGCATCAATAAATATCAAAATTCAATAACAATAAAAAATTAGGACAACTACTGCCATTAGTCACAAATTCTTTAACAGTATAAAATGGATTTGTCCTAAAAAATATGTGAATGTTAGATTAATGTTATATTGTGTTGCTGAAAACAAATGAGCAAAACAATGAAACCTACTTTTATATTATTTGAATGCATATGTATTATATTTACCACAAATGCCAAATTTTCCATGATGTTCAATGTACTGGAAAACATACTCAAATAAATATCAATAACTTTAAATGACTTCCCAAAGTGGATACAAACACATTATATATCTCATATCAAGGTACTGGAATTCTTTCAGTAATTAAAAAGGATTCAATTGAGAAGTTTGTGAGAAAGTCAAGCATTTTAATCACCAAATCATGGTTTAACACGAATTACAATTTAAATATTTTTTATTCAAATCAATCAAAAATATTATAAATCATGTAACACTTACAAGGCCTACGATTAACAGGAAGTAACGACCATGTGGTTCTGCATACCCTGTACACTCCAATATATTAGACATAGATGGATATACTTCCCTCCAGATGATGAGCTGTCCCATAGGCTGATCAGTTGCCAATGATAACAAGCAAAAATAACGACAATAAACATTAATATCCAGAAGGTCTTTATTAGGCAAGTGGTTGGCTAGTAAAACATCTTTGTAGTATAAACATGTTCCAAGGATCACATATGGGCGACGGTCATCATAGTGAACATCTGACATCTCTGCAAAATCAGCTGCTTCTAGTTCACACAGGCAGCTATCCACATTAACCTTGTGCTCCTCTGGAAAATCGAGGCATCTGACAGCTGGTAGAAGCTCGAGAAAGATATGGCCACTGGAAAGCCTAGCATCATATTCAACATCAGGATTCAAGAGTTGTTTGAAAAGGATTGAGAATAAGTGGCATAGCCTTGGATGGTTGTCCGCTTCTGTAAAAGCCCTATATTTGATGGGAAAAAAAAACAAAAAAAACTCAATATTTTTAGTGTATTAGTGTCCTCATTTTTTAGTCTTGTACACTACTCCGGGTACTCTACGTAACTCTAGACAACTTAACTTACGTAACTCAAATGATTGGAGTTTGCTTGAATTACCTTCAAGTTTGCAGAGCAAAATAGTGGTCTATTATTTCAAGCAGTTTACAAATGGGCCCGGGTCTCCCACTTTTTGGCAAAAATATATAATGCCTGGAGATTTTTGTATGATCAGAAATGCAAGAAAAGAAAGAGGAAAGAAGGAGGAGGATGGGAAAGAGAATGTTTATCCAGTACCCGACCGAGTTACATTTTCTCGCAATTCACATTGGCGGATCTGGGGGAGGGGGTCATGGGTCCTGACTTCTTCCTTGGGCAACAAAAAAAGGGGGAAAAGAAAAGAATTCTAGACCTACCTTTTCAGGACCCGTAAGCTGATATTTTTTTTTCTCTTTTTTACGATAAGAAAATTAGAATTTTGAAGAACATAAATGTCATTAAAACACACTTCATCTAGGAATTTAAATTTTCCCGGGGGAGAACCCCTGGACCACCCTTTCTTTTTGTGATTTATCGATTCATGGAAAAAAGAATACGCATGCAACTACTCATTTATTTATGTATGTATGTAGACACACATATAATAAAAAATGAGAAAAATTTACCTGACCTTTTTCAAGAGGGGAAAACCTTGAATTTTGAAGAACTTTAAAAACCATTGAAAGACATTTCAGAAGTCAAGAAAGCTCATTACACATGAAAGTGAAAGTAGTCAATGATGCTCTTTAAAAAAATTGTCTTGGAAAGTTTCAATATGATAAATGTATCTACATTGAACAGATGAACAATTCACTATTGTGTGTACACTTTACAGTAGGCATGTTAACACGAACATTTTAGCTCGCTTGAAAAAAAAACAATCCCATATTTTTCTGATCATCTCCTCTTGTAACCAACACACACATCCCCATACTAACCATCACCTAAGACAGAATTAGTATAATATGGCCATGGCTAGCTGAGATATGCCAATGCCAGTGGGGCCAATCATATTTAAAATATTATCACAATAACCAAAATTACCTTGGTAGAGATCCGTACATATATTTAAGCAATTGGACAGTGTCTGTCATCACACCTATCAGTTGATCGCATGATATCTTATTAGATGGCATTGCAATCACCATTACCTCAGACTCATGTTGGTGGTAGGCTACATGGATGGTTGTACCATCCGATACAATGGAAGAACTATTAAAGAAAACAGACATATTATGCATAATATAATTAATAATTTAACGATGACAAAATAAAGATGTTTCGGACAAACATTTACCCATTCGGTTTGTAACTAAATTTTACTAGAAGATATAAAGTTATTTAGAAAAAATTAGCCAAACATAAACATCTTGAGTAGAATTATTTCAACCTTATTTAAAATAATATGGCCAATCAAAATGTATTTTATTTTAATTGTTATTACAGTTAAAATTCACCTACGTCAAAAAATTGTCAAAGTCAAAACTACAGTATTTTCATATCACTTCATCTTCAATGGTTAATATTTGCTCTAACTCAAACATATTTAATCCGAATAAAACGAAAGTCAAACATATGTTACATGCCAAATTGACCTGTTTTCCATTCATTGTTAGTCCATAAGTCGAAGTCAAAATCTTGACATAAAACTTCAATTAACCCTTTCCAGTCGTATGGCGTCGCGACGACGCCCTCTTCAACCATACTTTATAGCTTTCATGATAATTATTTTATAGCTAGGCTGCCCTCTATAGGATTTTTTGTGTGTGATGTAGGAGTATTTCTATAGAGGGCCTCCTGTATTGAGACCAAATAAAATGCCTGCGAACAGTAAAAACCCGACATTTAGTGCAGATGATGTAATTTCCCAGCTTTGGTACAGCCTCAGGCAATGGTAATGGGGCAGACTAGAAAGGGTTAGCTGTCGCCGCTATACCAACATCGCTGTGAACGTCAACAAGTGACTCATACATTTGGCAATGCAGAAATTCACACGCTAAGTAAGTCCGACAAGTGACTCATGTTTACATTGCATAGCCATACTTTGTTTAGTTTATTTTAAATACGACTCAAGGATGTTTTGTTGGGTAGGCTAGGGTCCCACAGTAAGTGTTGTTGCCACAATTAGTACAATACAACAACACAATGCAACTACTGACCGGACCACCTAGCTTTGTCTCAGGATTGCACAGCAGTAGATTGTAACCTCAATCCATCATTTCCCTATTGTACTAAAGGCAACCGTATTAGTTTCATTTGCAGCAACAAACGTTATACATTATGGAGTATAATATGAAGACCGGTCAGCAGGCCAAAGACAACATGGTTTGCAACAATGGACAAGGAACTTATATATGTATAAAACACATCCATTAAAAAAAAAAGTTAATGACAGACCACCAGACAACTGAATGAAAGAGAGTGTATAAGACACTTCTGTTTAGAAAATAATAATAATAATAATAATAATAATAATAATAATAATACATAGAAACTGTTTAGTAGCATTTTGCTTCTGCTGACAAACCATTTTGTGTTGGCTGACTCATACTCATTCCTAGTACTATATTCCTTGTTGGTTTTTCTGTGCAAATTCATTAATTTTATTGTGATTCATAGTTCTGTTGGTTGTGGACTAGGACTCTGTCTTAAATTTTCATCTTCGCTTCATAGGCTACCAATTACTGATAAAATGTTTCCTGTATAACAAATGTGTGATATAGTTGGGATAACATTGTTTTAATTAAAAAGAAAAAATCATTGACAGTTAGCCTCTTTGGGCACCACAATACAAAGAACAAAATAAATACTGAAAGGCTTTACCTGGTTACTTTGGTACCTGTGAGTTTCAGGAGCATGTCTCCCAGAGTAATAAACAATCCCTGGATAGAACTCAATTTTTTCGAAGCATTGCCTTCAGGGTAACAGAACAAAATTTCCTTTCAAAAAAGGAGAATGATATTAAATACAAACATATTTCTTTACTTCAGCACATTCCAAACATTTGTACATATTTTAAAAAATTTTTATCATTAATTCGTTAATATTATTGTTACTTTTGTTTAATATTATTGTTGTTTTTATTTTCTGTTATTGTTGTGTTTGTTGTTGTTAATGGTTTTTGTTTAGTCATTTCTATTGTTGTCCACGATTTCATCTTTGTCCCTACCAATACTGTTGTGGAAATACAGTAAAGAGCATCATTTAAAGACCATTTGAGGTAACATTAAAGTTCAATTAAAAAAAAAAAAAACTTCTCATTTAATAATGTTGTTAAAAATACTGAATTTGATTTTCATTGATTTACAGACATTTTACTATACAAAATTAGCACTGTAGCAGCCAAGTCCATACAGGAACCAAATCTCCAAATAACTGAAGGGGGTGTTCCGTTGCTAGTATTGACACTTGTGAAATATAATATTTCATATTATATTGGAATTATTTCAAATTTGTTAAAAAAATTATTCTGACTGAGATTTTGACAATTAAACAAATCTCAGGCCTACTCGATTGATTGCAGTGTGTGAGATGTGAAGTACAAAAACTAATTTCATCAGAGAGGGTGCACTTTATTGACTGTATAAAGCATACATAAAAGCGAGAGCATTCCAGCAAATGCGATCTACCTGTACAACCTCTGAATTTGCCTAATAACGAAGAATTCATTAAGAAAATGGTAATCTCTTATGAGAAATAGTCTGTATTAAACTTAAATTTATGCCAATATTTTTCCATTGTTTATAATAAATAGAGTAATGCATATGCATTTTTTCCAAAAAAAAATCTTTTTTAGTGAAATTTTGCCGGGAATGTGTCTTTAAAATATTGAATTTAATTTGTAAATTTCTTATTTCATTTCAAATAGTATATCTGGGGATCTGGGTACAGCCCATGTTTAATTTGGAAAAAAGAGAAGCGAAATAGTGTGAGAAAAATAGTTATAACAACATGCAGCCAAGTTCTGAAATTTTAATCTTTACATGCTTTTAAAGTTTCTACTGCCACAAAAAATAATTCTTAAAAAGAATGGTTCTTAAAAAAAGGTTCTATCTCGCCTGTAAAAACAGGTCCTTGGAATAGGTGTTGTGACTGTTTATTGAACAATTTGGCACAATTACCAACTTGGCACCAGAGGCTGATTCTAGTTATGAATACACAATACAAAATATCAATTAAGCATCTCTATTTAACAAATAAGCAACTTTTCATATAGCATCAAACAAAAATCCTACATTTCCTGAATCTTTGTCCTCTTTCCCCAGGGTCAGGAACATGACGACATGGGGTGTATCACTGAGTGTCTGCTGTGTTTCGTTAAGTCTTTCACCACTAATGAGCTTCACCAAGTTACTTGCAGGAGGGGATCGAGTTGGAAGGTTTATGAACGTCTCCTCACCCTCATATCCTAGTGTCTCTATCATGACATTTACCTGTAAGTTACAAAACAGTGTATTTGTATTCAGCATTTGTAGCATGATCATACCAATTTTTATATAGGGGTTTAATGAGTGCTTTGGATGGACGTTAATAGAAGTGTTACTTGCATAAAAAAGCTTTTTCCATTTTTAGTTAGGGATGGTGCCAAATTTATTGTACTTTGTCTACCGAAGAACACCGCAGTATACGCGGCACTACGTAAGCCCTTTCGCTAATTAGGTAGGAGTGGTCTTGTTCTCCGAAGCATTAAAATGTTAACGAAATCAAGTGAGCATTCTGTTTGATAGGCTCGACTAAATACAATATCGTCTACCACGTCTTCTGTTCTACACATGGTACACGAATCTACCAATTTTGATATGGACTTTTGTTGTTAATTTATCGTCTGCTGTTGGTTTTTTATTAATATTTGATTGTTATAAATCAAAGGAAAAAAATATTATTCTCTAAGTCACGAGAATCAATCATACATTCCATATAAACTCATTTGTAATTTGGAGCAGGGACAGAAGTAGGTCATAAGGTGACAAGTGCATGTGAAGGATTGTCAGCCTATGTTTATAAAATATAATAAAGTACAGTTTTATCTGCTTCCTTTGTATTTTATTGATGTTCATCCTTTTAATTTAGATAGGAACGTTCATTATGTTCTTTTTTTGGTATGACGATCAATGATATATCATTACTCAATACTCGGACTGGATACTATAGCTCATAACTGAATCAATAAACAGCATATATGCTGTTTATTGATTCAGTTATGAGCTATAGTATCCAGTCCGAGTATTGCAGCTAGCAGTCGCACATGTGCAAGTTGAATATATTTTTAGCTACTTCCATAAACTACTATTATGGAGGTCCATGCTTTTACCAGCCTCGTACACAGGGTGGATCCAGAGAATATTCTGGGGAAATGTGATGCGCGAAGCGCTGAACTGGGTTGGGGTGGTGTTTGCAGAGAAACGAGGAGAAGTGCTACTTGGAATTTAAATTGAAAATTACCCTGGTTTAGAGTACTAAGCTCTCCTGTTTATTTATTTATTTATTTTTTTTTTTTTTTGTATGTACTCTTCTATGCCTCTTTTTTTAAGGGGTCCGTGGACCATCCCTGGTGCATATAAACTGAAAAGCATGCATAAAAATATAATTATTTCTCTATTAGGGTAGTTATAAAGACATTTTAATCACATGGATGAAAGCATAGTACCAGCATGCAGTGTATCTCATTATCTGCTGCATCGAACAGGACGTTCCAAGTCCACTTTAAAATAGGTCATGTATAGCAAGAATAATAACTACAGTTGAAAGTTACATATGCAATTTTCTAAAAAACATAATGGAAATTTTGTCACATAGGCCTATTAAGTGTCTTTCAAGCATTTTTTAATGATTTAGTTTGATGAATACATTAGAAAAGCTTTGTTTTTGAAAATAATTTTATTATTTTACCCTACCTTTTAATGGTAGAGTCTTATCATTTCAGCGAAGCCACAGAACATATGCTTCTCTTCTGAGCTCTAGAAGGGTTGGGGGTGTGAGCAATATAATCAACAGCTAATTAATTTTGGAAACAATGTTTTTCGCCCGGTTCAGGTTTACGAGGCGAGACTTTTTTTAAATAAAATTGACAAGTGCAATTAGAAAATAAAATCATCCTGGTTATACAGTAGGCCTAAGAAAACAAAATTTTACTTTTAATGTCCCACATTCGTCGATTTTAATAAGCTAAACACAAGGTACTGTATACAATGTCGCGCCGTCACTAGTTCAAAGAGAAGAAACGTCACGAACGAGTGTTGAATGTAATTTTTATCTCATCACAGAAAATAGGCCCACGTCGCTGAACAGTGAATGGTTTATATTTGACACAAATATTACCCAGTGTACTATTGATGAAAGTGGACAATAATCTAAATATATATTTTTCTTATTTTCTTCAAAAACTGTATACTACATTGTTGCTTTGCAGTTGGACACAGGGTTATAATTTCTTCTGAGACACCGCAGTAATGCGGTTTGTTTACGAAGGCACAACATGTGCTCAGATGTGAACGACTGAATGGATTTGAGATTGGAACAGGTTTTGAACTGAACACTTTATACTGTATTTGTTTTATTATTTTATATATTATATAATATACTGTACTGCATAAATAGTATCATTATCATCATCATTGTTATTAGTAGGCCTACTATACGGCTTTATTTCATAAAAGAAATAAAGATGTCATGAAGTTCAGTTCGATGCAAGCAGATACAGAAACAAGTTCCGTATTGAATTGAATCAGGTTGAATGTAATTTTTATTTACGAACAGGATCAAAATACTGTAGGCTCACATGCGGCGTCACTAAATGTTTCATTCACCGCAAATGTTACCTAATATGAATTAATATGTAGACAATAATAGTTTCTAAATATTTAATTTATCTTTCTCTTCAAAAACTCCGATCAGGCAAGGTGTAATAATTTCTTCACTGACTGCTGTAATGCGGTCTGTTTACTAAGGCAGAACATGTGCTTCTCCCAGCTCACGCACTTGATACGGCTGAATGGGTTTGAGACTGGAAGGAACAACGGTGGGACGAATTTTCAACATTTTATATCAATAAATAATTCAATTCTGTTCCTATTAGTTTATTTTATAAATATAATATAATATACTGTATTAGTATCGTTAGGATCATAATTTTACTGTATCTCAATGACAATGTGAATGACAAAGTTTAACTGTCCTGTGGTATCTGACGTTACCTACTATAAATTAAAATGTAGACAATAATTGCTTCAAAATATTTATTTTATCTTTCTCTACAAAAACTGTATAATTAATACGATTTCGGATTTGGGCACGGTGTAATAATTTCCTCACTGACACACTGCTGTAGTGCGGTCTGTCTACGAAGGTAGAACATGTGCTTTCTTCACGCACTTGATACGGCTGAATGGAGTTTGAAAATGGAACAATGATGGGACGGGTTTTTAAACATTTTGAATCATTAAATGATTACAGTAAATTACTTAATTTAGGATTATTGATACAGAAAAACACAATTTACGTTGAGAGGGACCATTTATTCAGCAAATGTATGGGCTATACATAACTGTCAATAGTTTGAGCATGTGCCACCCGCCAACAACACTGGCAGGTAAAAATATGTTGTCATGTCAATGACCTTTTGGCTGAAAGCCAATTATTTTCTGACGTTCCAATGCACGTTTTTTTTACTCGACTGCTGCTGTAGCCTGAGTTGTAGGCCTTAGGTCTACGATATAAGCCTCCTTTTCAATTGGTAACAACATGTAAGACAATTAACATTGCATTTGTCTAGTGTTTAGTAAGGACATGGATACCTGTGAATTAACTGACATCAGCAAGGTAATAATCTTTTACGAGTCCGTGGGTGAATAGGGCCTGATGATGAGCTGGACGTTCATCAAGGCCCTAGTCTAGGCCAATGTTTGGTAGCACTAGTGGTTTTGTTGTACTAATATTGTACAATTAAAGTAAAATACTACACAGCGTATTTTGCTCAATAATATCTTGGATACATGTCTGAATTCTTTACTCTAATTAACAAACTGTTTACTGTAGTTCAAAAAACATTGTTTATTCCTGCTAATCGACCCATAGAAACAATCAACATTCTCGTCGTGTAATTGCTTATCAATATCAGGCCACGTTATCCTACTACCACGCAACTACACAGAAGTTACCACGCGTGGGGAATGTTGCAGTAATTGTGGGCTGTACTGTAGTTTCAGAATATTCCTATTAAACGTTCAGTTTATTGTGTTTATTATGAGGGTCCATTGATTCAATAATATTGAATTTCAAGTAACTTTCTTTGGGTTCTAATTAAGCTTGTTTTACGAAACTAATTTTCAATTACAATTCAATTGTCAAAGCAATTATTTATATTTAGGCCTAGGCCTAGTAGTATCGAAAATGGATTCGCATGACTTTTCCATGAACACCAAAGACAGTTTTTGATAGTTTCCCATGATCATAGGGACGGAAACCAAAAGAAGTTTCCCATGAAATTTTAAATCCTGTGGCCTGCATTGCTGACTTCTGGAACACCCAACCAGGGAGATGTAAAAAATAATTACATCTCCGTGATCCAACAATCCTTAATATTTGCACCCACCATGTAACAATAAGAATACAGTTGAACTTGCCTATGTTGAATCCAAAATGCCATTGAAATAGTGTTGGACACAACACAAAAATTTGGCATTTTAAATAAAGAGCGACTTGGAAATTATTTGAATTAGGCACAGTCAACTAAGGCAAGTTTAACTGTATAAAAAAATGTTTAATAAATTTGTACTTACGACAGAAGTACAAGACAATGTATCCAAGATGCTGTTAAGATTGTGCGGTCCGACTTCAACATTATTAATAGCCACCAACCAGTCACCTATAAATATAAACAATTCAAAAATAAATTAATATTTTGTGCATATATTCAAAGCACTGCTTTCTATGTGAAAAACATGAATGTGCCAAGGGAAATCAATGCTTGACAGTGTAGAAATTGAACTCATGACGACCTAAGGTTTAGATAACAAATCACAAAGTGAATACACAAAAGGATTGATATGTCCATCAGGAAAATGAACAGATCTACTGTAGGCCTAGAGTGCAACTTTTGTTAAGATGAACAACATCCATGTTGCTTTATAAACTCACCTATATTGATTTGACCTGATTCCATGGCAGGACCTCCGGGGAGCAGTCCTTGTACCATTATCCTATTATCAATATCCATCATCTTGCCATTTCTCAGTATTCTATCTCTTGATGTCACTGGTGAGCTGGCCATCTTTAAAAATCTTCCTGGAATAATTCCCAACAGAGTGTCTAGTCTTGTTTGACCATTACAAGGTTCATAGGTCAAATTCAATCGGACCAATTTTCGCTGAGTGTTCATTACTTTTGCATAATTATTTGTGATGACCGTGCCATTGTGGTTCAAGTCTGATAACTGATTTGACAAAGCAGCATTTTTGCGTCGTGCAATTTTCTGCTTTAAAGTTTGGAGTTTGTTTTTGGATTGCTCTGGGGTTCCATTACTTTGTAGAGATTCTGTTATTTTTTTTGGAAGATCATGACCAGGGTCAATATAAAAAAGATCCCCTTTGGGCTGCACAGCACCTGCCCACACTGGCTCCAGACCACTGGAAAAAACAAAAACCATACAAAAAACATCTCAGTAAGAATTAGCACAATGTAAAGGCACAAAAGGTGTCGCAAGTCTCCCACAAGTTGCGGGGATATCCTGGAAATCAGGACGGTCAACTGAACTCCCAGATCCCGGACAAGAATCTCCTGGAATATAAAGATCATTAAATCTTTGGTCTCACAGAAGTCAGTGTCATTATTATCACCATAAGTAGCAAAAACAGAAATTCGCAGCAAAAATAGATTTTTAGTTATTAATACAGGATTAAAGAGTAAAACGAGCTATAAAATGGTAAAAAGAATCATTTAAATCCAGCAATTCATTATGAAGTTACAGGCGTTTAAACATATGCTGTTTAAAGATTAATAAAATCAGCCTTCAAAGTCTATAATTTCAAGCATTTCTCAGGCAGAAATCCCCACAAATCCTTAAAAATATTTGTTTCAATCAACCCTTCGATTTTTTATTTTTCGCGTATGGTACGCAGAAACTCCGAAATCGGAGGTTTGATTAAAAGTTTTAAAACTCTGAGTTTTGATGAAGTTTTCACGTATAGTACGCACAACTTCCGAAGTCGGAGGGTTGGTTAAAAGTTTGAAAACTCCGATCTTAGAGTTTTCGCATATAGTACGCAAAACCTCCGAAATCAGAGGGTTGATTAAATGTTTTGCTCTCTCAATACAGAGAGAGCTTGTTTATTATTAGTAGGCCTACGCAAAGAAACTCCGAAATCAGAGGTTTAATTCAGAGTTTGAAAACTCCGATTTTGGAGTTTTCATGTACCATAGTACGCAAAAACTTGTTTGAATAAAAGTTTTGAAAACTCCGATTTTGGACTTTTCGCATAGTACTACATTCGCAAAACCTCCAAATCCGGAATTTTGACAGGGGGCGTAGACACTCCAAAGATGGAGTAAACAACATACATGAATATATACTACAATATTTTTATTTTACATGGCCTTATCTACTGTAGGCCTAGACCCTGTCTACGCTGGCATAGGGCCTAGTAAATAATAGCAGTAGGCCTTGAGCCTAGGTCTAGCCTAGGCAGGCTGTGCCAGGCTTAGCCTTACAGTAGTACAGCATGCACTGGTAGGCTAGGCCAACTTCTTATGCACTTGTCAATTGCCCCCCCACCCCACACCACTTCTGGGAGGCAAAAAAAAAAAAGAAAGAAAAAGAAAAAAATGATAGCCCACAACGCCTCAAATGAACACAAAAATTTTGTGGACCCCCTAGGAAGATGTGTATAAGAGACAGGGAAAATGAACCCCAAATTTCGCCCCCCCCCCCTTCCTTTTGGACATCTCTGGATCCGCCCCTGTGTAGGCCTAATTTCTGTTTTGATATTGAATAATTAATTCTATCAATCAGTTAAATGAATCAATCATTTTCTTTTTCTATGATCAATCTGTCAATAAACTTTTTTTCCGCACTCTTCCAAACTTCCATGGAAATCTGCTTAATAGTGATACGCATACGTAGTGCTTCCATCAAGCAAGCTCATCTTTTTCACCTAGCTCCTGCCTAGCTCTCATGTGCTTCTCCGATTCAGACCTGGCCTAGGCTAGATCTAAGTAGGTCCATCCAATCATTTATTAGCGACGCATTTTACCGGGACTACGGCGGCAAGTGGTGGGGACTTAGCCTGGGATGTACATTAAAATGATGCCCCACATTGCCGGGAGGTGGCTGGGACTTTCACATGCATGTAACCATTTTGGAAATTACATCCCCAGCCAAGTCCCTGCTGGGTCCGAGGGGGCCTGGACTACAATATGAATATATATTATTATGTGTAATACACAATATATTATTACAGTAAGACTCCTCATTTACGTACGGAACAGGCCCAGAGGCGTTCCTAAAAATTATTCATATGAAAAATCGGGGTTGTGTGAAATTCCTATGTATTTACACTACCGATATGCTAGGCTGGGCTAGGCTTGTTAATGTGTATACAAACTTTATTCTCTCTTTCTCAGGCAATATAACTTATCTTCTAGCTTACAAAGAAACACAGCCCCGCAGGCGCTGCAACAGGGCGAGCAACATTTTTCACTCGATCCATGTGCTTGTGGCGTCATGTAAATTAAATTAATTAAATTACGATATGAGGGTGGTGTGTTCAGAGATGAATAAATCATGTACCTATCGATATGCCGACAACTTTTACGCATTGGGCTGAGTTTTCTCATGGCTGCAGACATGAAGTATGATCACCGTGTTGAATGTCAGTGTATTCAAAACGCACTATCTGCGTTTTGTTTTGTAGTAGAGATCGCTGATAGTGTACAGCAATCCGTCTAAGACCGAGTGAATGAACTCCAGCACGCACTTAACGATTAATTTTTGACATGCGTGTGTGTTTTGTACACGAAATAGGAACTGAATTAGGACTGGCCTTATTCAGAACAATGATGAGCATAATTATCGTGCACAAGTTGAACAACTACGGAAGCCCGTTAGTGTCAACAGTGAATAAAAATTTCAAATCAGTTATCTGGCCGCCACCTAATTATCTGGCGGCCGCCACTTAATTATGGGTACCCAGGTTGCGTTATAGCATTATCTTGATGTAGAACAGGCCATTAAAGAGCATGATTGGCCTAGCATTTAATATACGGTAGCATTTAGCTTAGCTATTCATTTTAGCTCCAGCTTGTAATAGCTTATAGGCCTAATAGCAGTCATATAGCCATTCACAAAATTAGCAGTCATATAGCCATTCACAAAATGTATCTATATCTTTGCTGTAGCACATCAACTGTATTATATGTTCTATTTTGCTGTTTATGTGAGTGTGATATTGTCTGTTATAGCTGGGTTAAATATTAAAGGGCATTAAATAGTGATAGTAATAGTGAAAAAGCATACAATTAGCTGGTCACCAGCTATACCTTATAATGGCAGTCATATAGCAATTACATGGTTAAGTATTAAATAGCGATTAAAAGCATGTTCGTAGCTGTTATACAATAGCTATAGCTTATAATAGCAGTCATATAGCACCCATTTCACAAAATATAACATCACTAGGAAGCATTAAATAGCGATTAAAAGAATGTCATTAAATAGGCGTTTGCGATGATAGGCGTTAGGTTTAAGCAAGTCATCAGGCGTTTGCGACGATAGGCTTTAAGGATAAACATGTCAGCCATTTTACCATGTCCGCTAATAAATAGATGTTCGCACCAGCCATTGCATATAAGAGGAATTAGGGTTAATAAGATTTTCAACTGTGTACGCTAATGTATAGGCATTTTCACCGGTCATTTGCAATTGAATATGTTATTTTTCCTATTTGTTATCGTCGCAAACGTCTCTTCAATGGTAAAATACTGACGTGCTCCAAACTTAATCCACAAAATAACCATATAATCTATCGGCGCAAACGCCTGACTTGCTTAATTCTAAAGCCTATCGTCCGCAAACGCCTATTCAATGGTAAACCAGTGACGTGCTTAACCATAACGCCTGTTGTTGCAAACCCCTGACGTGCTTAACCCTAACGCAAACCTTCGCAAACGCCTATTCACCTAATCTGCTCAACCTGAATGCCTATCATCGCAAACGCCTATTCAATGATAAACTGCTGGCGTGATTAACCCTAATGCCTATCATTGCAAACGCCTTTTAAATGGTAATGTGCTAAATTGCTTAACGGTAACGCCTATCGGCGCCAACGCTTGACATGTTTAACTATAACGAATATCGTTGCAAACATCTGTTCAACGGTAATCTGCTGACGTGCCTAACCCTATAGGCGCAAAAGCCTTCAATGGTAAATGGTATTAAACTGCTGGCGTGCTTAACTCTAACGCCTATCATCGCAAACGTTGTGTAAAAAATGCAGTTAAACCATTGTGGCAGCTACTAACATGCTTTTAATCAGTGATTGCTATATTTTGTGATATTTGTGCTATAATAAAATTGATATTATAGCTAGATAGTGACCAGCTACCATGCTTTTAAACACTACCGTATT